TAGCAAAGAATGCCAGACCATCGTCAACGGGGGCAGTTCCAACAGACAGGCATGGTAATCAGACTGGTCAGCACGCATGGTTCGGCACATTTGCCAACAAGTGGTGGTGCACCCGCAAGCCACTTCTACCTCCAATTCTTTAGCATGTTCAAGACTTATGACCCTTTAGCATGTTCAAGACCCTATTGACCAGAACCGTTTGCTGTCGATTGGTGGCTAGTGGCCTGAACTCTTGATGTCTATTAAGAAGACTGCCATTGACCCCACATCATAGACGCCAACGCCTGCAATGGTGCCGGGCTCTAGCGATGTGGACGACGGAATGGTACAGGGTCGTATTCTGAGATGAATGACGCTTCCGTTTCTCCAATGATAGTTGCCGCGTACGAATATGGCGTCGATGTGGAGACAGGACCAGTCCGGAGCAATTGTGGAACGCCCCACCGCGCAACATCATCGTGGTTTTAAGTGCAATTCCGTAAGATTCCATGTGACCTCTAGTTCGTATTCAGGGCACTCTGACTGCCCAACGATACGTGGATGATATGTTTCGGCCGATGATACTTCTCTACCTACAGGGAGTGCCCAATGCTCTTCATCAGCAAGATAACGCCCGACCGCACACTGCTCGCATCAGCTAATGTGTTCTGCAAAGTATACAGACGCTACCCTGCTAAACAGATTCTAAACTCGTATCTAATATGGCGAAGCCTTTTCCGTACATTCGTAAAGAAAAAAAAAAAAAAAAAAAAACATTGTGTCTTCAGTTACATGTATATATGGGGAAATAGGTTTTCCAAAACCATTTCCTCATTAGTTCTTCACTAACAAGTAAACATCACATAAAGCTACCAGACACAAATATCAACTACGAATATGTCAGCTATGAAATAAAAATCTGATGTGTACACCAAATGACTTCCTTGTACAGAATTGAATTAAATCTACTTCGCCGACAGCGCATAAACCACAATAGAATAATGTATTCTTTAAAATTCACTCTAGTATTTGTTTAGCGACACTCTGGCGCTAGATTCACTTAACAGTATTATATTTCGTTCATATTATAACTCAAAATGCACAAAATTTATATCATTTAAAGAATAGAATTATCTAATCGTTGCCACATGTTCTATTCAAATACTTTAATAAAGCTAGAATGATGTATAAAAGAAATTAAGCAAACAAAACAAAAAAGAAACAGCTTTTCACAGACGATTGAGTATTTCTCATTCAATTAATTCAGTTCTCACTTCGCGAGAAGGCAAAAATACATAAAAACTCAAAATATCTTTATTAAAAATTACGAAGTAAATCTTAAACACTTATTTCCTCGAAAAAATTCCAGAAAGGATTAAGCATGATTTAATTGGCAATAATAAATGAAGGCGTTATCTTTGTTGTTGCGAAGCTAAGTTCCTCTAGATTGGCAACAAATCCACTAGTCTGCTGTTTCAAATGTAAACAATCAAAACTATCCTTACATAAACAAACTAGTAAATAATGGATATTATGCACAAGTATTTAGTGATAAATAAGTATTTTATTCAAGAACAGCATGAACTCTTCTAAATCTTTGAAAGTAAGAAAGGCACCAACTATTCAAAATTTTTGTCAGTGAAAAAAGCACCAATTGCAAAATATTTTTCAAGATACTCGACGGGTCCCTCTAGGGGTGACGTGTTCTATGGTCTAAATACTTAGTGCAGTTGGAGTACTTCAACCCAACATAACTTGTACGTTTGATGCACCGCCCAGCCGGTATAGTGATAAGCAACGTTGACTGCTGTACCGATGGGCTGGGTTCAAATCCAGGAGAAGATCCAAATGTTTTTTTAAGCGTACAGTGCCCATGCGACAAGCATATACAGTACGAGCCAAAAGTTTTCTCGAGAGATTAGTGGTAGGCGAAGAGATGTGGAAGGTCTTCGGACCGGCTGGCGGTATATCCTCCCTCAAAACTAGGTGGAAAGTTTAAAAGGATTAATAGTTAACAAGGGCCAGCGATACCTAATATACACCTATGGGGTTGCACAGGTTTGACCTTGCTTCTTTTAGAAAAATCACGAAAACATTCATGTGACCAGTTCGTTTGCTTGGTTTGACACCACTATTAATTATCAGTTTGCAGCAATCTTATTTACCCGGCTTCTGGTGGGTTAGAGTTTGTAAGGCTTTACAGCTTTAGTAAATTTTTATATTAGTTTAAAAAAAAAGCTGAAATCATTAAGTGCAATATCATTGAGTATCATAATTTGGAGAATGTACTTTAAGCACGTGCTAACAAGTCTGGATAATTTAAAGATACTTTGAGGTACATAAACATCAGAGCGAAATTTAGATCAAAATAATTAATATAGATTAAATTTCTGTTACACTTTTCCTTCACGTGTCACTGGAATTTATTTATAATGTGGCCAACTGAAAATCGTTTATGAAATATTTTACGTTTTATAAGAAGACTAATAAAATTAAAGAAAAATTATATTAACATACATTAAAATTAAATTTAGGAAATGCACATATCCCACAAATTATAAAATGATCGGTGTTGAAGACCAATATTTTCTTATAAGGCTAACATGCACTACCCGACATTGAAAATGCAACACCAAGAAGGAGTAGCCCGGAAATTATGCAAATTTCAGGGTAGATGCACGTCAACGAGTTATGTGACTGATGTGAAACGCGCAGCTCTCCAACGCACGTTAAAGAAGATATAATAGAAAGAACCTGCAGAATGTTCAATTTTCGAGCCGTTATTTCTACTAGGCAAATTATCGTAGAAAATTTGTTGTTGTCTCAGAGCACGCGTGTAATAGCAGAGAATGTCAGGCCGTCGTCAACGGTGGCAGTTACAGAATCCATACGATTTTACGACGGCATGGTGATCGGACTGAGAAAGGCAGTTTAGTCCATACGGCAGCTCTCAGCGGACACACACTCAGAAACGTTAAGAGTGCACCGGCTGTGGTGACGATGATTAGAACCAGGAAATGTGACAAGTTGGAGGGGTGCCGATGCAACCAGAGTGACGTCAGCATGCATGAGTCGACGCATCCGCCAACAAGCGGTGGGCCACCCACAAGGCACTTCTACCTCCATTCTGTAGCATGTTCAAGCTACCCTAGATATTCCTATATCGAACAGAACCATTTCGTGTTGATTGGTGGCTAGTGTCACTATAGTGTCTGCACTCATGATGTCTGTTAAGAAGGCTGCCATTGACCCAACATCATAAACGCCAGCGTCTGCATAATGTTGGGCTCGAGCGATGAGGACGACGGAATGGCATAGGGTCGCGTTCTCAGATGAGTCTCGCTTCTGTTTCTTCAATTCTTAGTCGCCGTGTACGAGTGTGGCTTCGATGTGGACACACGTCCAATCTGGCAGAAACGCCCCATCGCGCGACTACGCGGTATCAGAGTTTGGGGGCAATTGCGTACGAATTCCAGGTCACGTCAAATTTGTGTTCAGGACACTATGACGACCCAACGATACGTGGACTATGTGCTGCGCCGGTGACACTCCCCTACTTTCAGACAGTGCCCGATGCCAGCAGGACAACGTCGCCCACACGCTGCTCGCATCAGTCAACGTACTCTGCAAAGTGTACAGATGCTTCCCTTCTCCCTCCCCGCTCTCTCTTAATCTCTCACCAGTCGAACATATTTGGGAGGTGATTGGACGCCATTTGCAGACGCTGCTATTGCCGCGTTCAGAAGATCAACTGTGGTAAATTGTCCGTAGTCTCACTGATTCTGAATCTAGAGATGTTGCTTCGTGTATTACCGCCCAAGTTGGTCCTACAAGCTACTGTGCCGAAGCGCTCTCCATTATGCACATAATTTGAAAAAAAAAAAGAAAAAAAGAAAAAAAAAAGATCACTTATTGTCCGTTGTTGTCTTTCTCTGTTTGCCGAGTTTTATCTCTTTCAAGCCACTCCTTCCTGGTATTGCATTTTCAGTGTCGGGTAGTGTAAATCTCGCAGACTACACTCTAGTTCAGGTGGCATTGAATCCGATTTTATTGTGTTATTAATCGTAATTCATTTCGTAGAAATTCAGTCTAATTTAAAAGGAACTTTCAAAACATACTTTGAAAATTAGTGGAAATTATTTAGATGATTGTTTATAAATAATGCAAGCTATATTTTTTCCGAAAATATATATTTAAAGACCATAAAAAATCACTGCAAATTAGTGTTTCTTTCTGTTACTGATTGCAAGCTCTTCCCTAACAACCCCGAATATAAGCGGTTACGCCGCACGTAATTATGCTAGGTCGCCGGAATTATATGGCAGCTTACATGACAGCAAAATGTACTATATCATTGTACTTAAAACAGAATGTTAGGATAAAATATACGAAATACAATTGATATGCAATGCTCAGTCGGATTTTTAATGAATTATTTATTATTTTTAACTCATTAGATATTTAACTATCCTTGGTTTAAAATCTCAGCAGTGTCCAAGATGTTGAGACCGCTGATTACTATAAGTGCGTCCCGCGCTCGACCTCAGAGTAACGAGTTTCTCGTTTTCGTTATTTTCATTTTGTGTAATGTGAATATGACCATGTTTTCATTAGAATGTCCTTCATAAGGACATGCCTAAGGCATAAGGACATCCTTAGGCAGATAGCCTCATGTGCTTTGTCATATTAAAATAACCTTATCTAACTTTATTCGGAAAATTTCATCGTTTATGAGATTTAATTTAAAGTAAAAATTCTCTTTTTTATTTGATTTTCCTTTTCGGTTTTTGGAATAATATTCATATTTCTAATATCAAAACAGTTTCAGTTCTGAAGAAAAATTTTTCTTCCTCCGAAATGCTTAATCTGAATAATGTTGTAATGATTTAATTATAAATATGATACAAAATTTTATAAATAGAATTTTTAGAAGCAATTTAAAGTGATAAAAGATAAGTGGAGAAAAAAAACCGAACCATTAGCTGTTACGAAATAACACATTGCTTCTTTCTCATAAAGGAACGCCTAGCAAAAATAAAAGAGGGCCATATGGGATCTTCAAAACCAGTTCCTGTCTGAGAGAATAGAAGGACATTTCAAATACTTACTCAAGTGGAAAAGAAACATAACTCAAGGCTACGATAAAATAGATAGTGCCTGATTCTTAAAGAAAAGCCTTTATTTCCATAATAATAACCCGGATCTGCATAAATTTTCATACAGCGGCTCATTTTGCGTTTGGTAAGTAAAACATATTCATTTTGACTACAAAGCTGTTTATCTCTATGCATCTGCATTTATGTTACCTATTGCTATTTAATTATGGCTTTACTCATGCTTATTTACAAAATGTATGTGTTAATTTTTCATTTTTTGTTAGATATTGTTTTGATAAACCTTACATTTATCATGTTGGATAGAACACTTATATATTTGATTTCATTACTACTATGGATTTAAATACAAATTTTTATTTGTTTTATACATAAACATTTGTTAACACAAGAAATCATAGAATATATTTTCGATGCAGAGAATGTTTTAATTAAATATGCCGGATAATTTATTCTATAACTCTGCGGAACACTGAATTAAATATACTCATCAAAATCGAATTTAACTAATTATGAGTCGGCAAGAAAATTTATTAAATCTTAATTATTCATAAAATTGGAGTACATTGAAATAGACGAATATAAATATGCCATGATTTATAAAAATGCATGCTTTAATAAAGGGTGTCGATGAAGTGAATAGAGGAAATGTGTTCCTGTCCAAAATGTGTGTATGTAACTTTAAAAAAAATATATTATACAATAGATTATCATTAAAAAATGAAATCTGATATTAATGACTCAATTTCATTCTCTAATTTTGTTTTAACTTTTAGAAAGTGTTAGATATTCCATCTTTAATGTCATAATTGATGAGAATTGTGTTACAGTTTTCTAGCTTCCCTCTCTTCTTAAAAATAGTACCTGCTATGGTCATGACTTTCTTTATTGTGATCACACTGCCCGATACCAGTCGAACCTATTCTGCGCCGAAGTAGAAAATCTCTTTTAATGAATATTAAAACTAGCAAAATAGCTTATCTATTAATTTTTATCAGATTTTCGCTAAATTAAGGCAAGAGCACTTAGCTGCTGCCCTAACTCGCCTCTTCATTTGGAGTTAACTTTGACTCCTAAAGTCAGTTGCACATATCATGTGAAAATTAACACATATATTAAATAACATTTTCCACATCGAGAGTGTCTTCTTCAGAATTCTTTATAATTGTAAACAACTCCTAATGAATTGCATCTTTTAGTAATAACTGTGCTTTTTACAACAAACATTCCTAGTTGCCAATGTTATTTCATTCTCATTAATTTCAGGCAATGAGCGTTAACATCAAACTGCGTCCTGTACCTGCGTCCTGTAAGTCTTATGGCTCTAGATTATGTTACAGGGTTTTCAGTAACTGCAGCTCAATCAGCATGGATCACTATAAACCTTAAATAAAGCAGTAAGACTTATAGGAAATACATAGACAGAAATTAAGCCGAGGAAAATTTTAAGTTTCTTGAAGCATTCTACGGATTCCGAATACAGAAATATATTCAAGATTCTATGGATGTAATACTTTGTGATAGTGGTTCCGTAAGTGAGACATGAGGTGGCGTAGCTAGAGGAGGACGAGGGGCTTTCTACGTAGCCGGCATATTTTTAGCAGTGGTAATTTTTTATGTGAAATATAACATTACAGTAGTCAGTCGTGGGGATCGTCTGATCTAGAATAACAACAAAGATTTTTTCGTTATGGCTACGGTTTTGTGCTTAAGAGGAGGGATGTCTTCGTGGTGGACTTAAGTCTCGATGAAAGGCTTAGAAATTGAGAACTCGTTTTTATTCACATTATGAATGAGACACTATGTTGCATGCCTGTTACATACAATATATAGCATAAAAGCGCTCAAGCAGTAGGACCATTCTTTGGGATTTGACCCTAGGTCAAATTACAGATATTTATCAATTTATTACAGATATTTACCAATTTTATTGATTCTTTTACTGGCGAAGTGAATATATGCAAAAATGCTGAACTGTCGTACGAAACTGAATCGAAGAGATAATGGTTTTTACACTGGACAGCTTTTTGATCTTCATGTTCTTGCTAAATTTTCCTTATGCGAACAAAACTTCTGGAGTGAATTAAATTATGATCATAATGACCTAAATAAGGAAAAATTCTTCCCTGAGAAAGTAATACTTTGGAGTATGATACTGTTGCTATTTAGTAAGACAGAATATAGAGGTGGTAGGACAGCACTTTGAACTTGTGTAATTTAATCTGAAATTCAATCTCCAGAATGCACTTTCAAATATTGAAATATTACATTTAATTCTTCTCACAACTGATGTTACTCTTACTTATTCCAGAAATGTATTGTTACTGTGTATAATAATACACAGTAACAATAAAAATAAGTGAGTCACTTGCGTTTAAGAAATCTCACCGTTTTGTCTCCAGAACAGAGAATAGGGCAATGAATTAAACTTCTAGAATGTCAAAAGAACACTTTAGAATGTTGGAATAACGGTTTTCTTAAAAATTATGCACATAAATCTTATTTTCTTACTTATCGGTTTGACATTTTGTAAATCCTTTGGTGTGCACTGAGAAGGGTGGCCAACGGAACTCCCATGAGTAAAATTTCTGGCTACGCCATTGACGCCTCGATGTACTGGGGCTCAGTGATTGGTTTATAAGAATGCTTCGAAATAATATTCACGAAAATGGTATTTAGTTGGCATGGTTTTCAAATCAGATCATAGATTTATTGTTGCCATAATAATAGGTAAAACATTTAACATACACTATATAAATCCCTGTATTTAAAGATCGCCTATCAACTTATCAACTGGTTTGAAAATTATTTTTAAGAAAATAATGTAAACATGGTTACTTATATTCGATTCCAAGGTCAGTCTGAATTTAATTCTATGGCAGGAAGTTTTTTTGACAGAGCTTTTGGTAATGAAATAAAGTTCAGCAACAGTGAATTAATTGGCTTTTGGATATCATTAAAAGATAACCAGATTCTGTGCAATACCATACCTGAATTTTCGCAGTCGCTGGGATAAAAAGTAAATCGCAATAAAAATCAGTATGGAGAACGAAATATGAGGACAATATCCAATTTGATAGAAGATGCCAAAAGATGTACAGAGGTAAAAAGTCTCATCCTTCTCGCTAAATGCAATTCATTTATTCAGTGGCATGGCTTTCTAAAATACATATTTATTAAAGATATTTTATCATATTTTCTCGCGTATTCACCCTACTTTTTTCACTAATTTTATCCTCCAAAAATCGAGAGTGGAAAAGTATGTGAATAAATTTATTTCCGAAGGACGCGATTATAGTAAGAACGTACCAAATGAGAAATAGTCATGGATAAACTACAATTAACAATATTATTTCTTTAAAGGAAACCTGCATTTCAGTAATATTAACATACAGTATATAATTTCTGCAATTCTTTAGGCCGTAAATCATCCATAAATAATTATAGAAGGTAAATGTGCAGCTGACTTAGTGAAATCGTTTACTTTCGTGTTTGCTTCGCTGAGATGGGTCGTTTCTTGTATTAGGTTGGTATAAAGTTTAGCAGTTAAAAGGGAAAGTTTTGGCTTGTCTTCCATAAGTCGTTTCCTAGCGTTTATCTTTGCTAGTAAGACAAAAAAATCACTATGCGAACAAATCCATTTTACAATTTAGGGAAACTCGTTTTCTGAACATTTTGAGGAAGGGGGAAATTATGCGATTATTAAAAAAAAATCAGAACCTGGAGCTAAAACGCTAGGGGAGAAATATGCAAGGAAATGTGGTATATAAACTTATTCTGAAACGTAGAAACTGGTTTTTTTTTCTTATTTAACCTATCTAAGCGCATCAACTGCACGCTTTTAACTGTTAAATAGATCTATGTTATGATTTTGAGAGCGGTGAATCAATTAATCACTGTTGTATTTTATGACATTTATGACAATTGGGATGTTTAATGCATCAGTCAAATTACCATTAAACAATAATAGCAAACACCGCATTGCAATAAAGCTATCTTATCACCGCAGCTTCATTAATAATTGACAAAACTTTGGGCCCATAAAGAAACATTTACCTTACATATATTGTAGGAATACAGCATATACATACGTAGTTTGTAAAATATAAGTTAATCAATTTTTAGCTATCGTTAGCGTTTGCTGTTAACATTAGACTAATAATAGTTGATCTTTAGATGAGGTAAATATTATGCAGAGATTTGGAGTTGCACAGTGTAGAGTTCCAATCTTCAGATAATTCAAGGGTCGTCTTTATTTTATTTTACACGAACACGAAATTTCAGTACCCATTCTCGTGCAGTTTTCATAAGGGGGGAACAAATTTTAAACTTGGCATATCATAATTTATTAGAGGAGGGAAACAATAGTCGATGAAAAGGATAATTTCGAAATTTATTTTTTATTGGGAGGATTTACCCCCCAATCTGACATATACAGACCAATAAGAAATCTTATTATACTCTGAATACACTAATTCCAATTTAGCTGTTCATTTTCGAAGAATTCGCTTAAAAGCACACCATGCAGTAGGATTTTTTTGCAACTGATTTAAACAATTAATTTCATATAAAAATTCGATATAGCTTAAGTAAGATAGATTAGTAACGAACCAACTAGGTTCAACAATTAGCTAAAGTATACTTAAAGAAAACAGTTTGCAATCCAACATGTTGAACTTTTTCAGCAACAACAAGATGTAACACTCTTGATCTATGAATACTTTGCTTTGTGTAAACTGTATTCGCATTCCTAGGAATTCAGAAGCTTTTCCAAATTTAGACATCTTGAATTCTTCAGTTAACAGTTATACAATTACAATAAGTTCATGAGTATTTAATTCAACAGCTAATAGGTCTTCCACATAAAGAGCAATACTTACCTTTGAAGATCTCTTTGGTGAGTCAAAATACAAGGCTCAATGTTTAGATGAAATTTGAATTTAAAACCTAATTTTTCTGTGAAACGGAGACATTCTTTATACCACTGCAGTTTTCTCTTTCAATCACTATAAACTCTTAATTTTCTATCACTGTGGTCATCGCAACTTAGTGGCGATCCAAATTAATACTTTCTTTTAAATCATCCTTTAAGAAAGTAGTTTTAAGATCTGAGAGAGATACAACTCA